TTGGACAGGAAGTGTTTATACAAGAATTAGGACGAAAAACATTTCAAACTATTTTAGGCCCAAGAATTTTCATTAACGATGAACGCATTGAACAAGAACGAGTGAACTACACTACAAGAAGATTAGAGTAAAAGTAAATAGTACATGAGCAAAGTACATGTTTTATATTAATTTCGTTATAGACTGATAACTTGGACATTCTGATAGAGCAGTATTGTTGAAAAATCGCGATTATATTTACTGTTTTAATGGCGGAAATATCAAAGCAGATAAAAGTATTTAAACTATGCAAGTCAATATCTCAGCGAAGTTTTACCATTTCAGGATTTATAGAAGTGCTGCTGACAAAGACATTTCCCTTTTATTAGAAACAACTTTCAAATCAAACATTGGAACAGGCAAATCTTTCAAAAATACATAAAAGTGGGAATAAATTTTACTTATGATTATGCTTATGCTTATGTCGATGCTTTGTCATTGATTTTCTTGATTTGCTGGTTGTGTTTGCGTCTTAGTCTCATTTTAACACATCAACGTTTAATTTCAAGCGTTATTTATCTTTGTTATTTTATGGTATTTTCTTTATCTATAGCGACGCCACTAAGCAGCAATGGAGGACCTCATTGTTTGAACTCTGCGTGTTACCAGCAAATGTAAGGCCATATTGATAAACAACTTTGAGTCAAGTACAATTTCAATACATTGGAATAACAAAAGTTTTGAAAACACCTTAAAAGGTAAGTTTCTTTTCATAAATCATAATCTTATTGGCCTGTTCGATGTTTGCATTTTTCTAGCGATCAATGCGTCACCAGAAGGTCTGACATTACGATTTAACTGAATAAAAGTATATTATTGATATAAGTGATAGCAGTCTAGGGTCTGAATGGGCTTAACCGACTAGCGACAAATGGACAAAATAACAACTGACTAGCGACAAATGGACAAAACTTAACAACTGACTAGCGACAAATTTGAACAAAATTTGCTGACTACCGACAACAACATATTTACTGACTGGCGACATTTTCCTTAAAATAAATATTTTTAGGCCATATTCAAAGACATTAGCTTCTAGAAATATTTTTTTTTTGTATTTTTCAAGCAACAACATTCGAAGTTTTCCGCTGAAAAATATATTTTGCTTCGGGTCAGTGGCTTGAAATTTTAACTGACAACCGACATCGAGACAACCGACATCATGACTGTTACAGATGTATGAATGCATGAATTGATACATTCTTATTACATTACCTACTGCATAAATTAGTCACACCCAAGCATCGTCCTTCAAAGGAGTTCCCATCAGCTTGAGCTTATCCAAGTGTTCGTCATATTTCATTCTAATAAAACAGGTACAGTACGTATAAAGCGGTTCACAGTTAAATTTAATTGTAAATTACAACATTCTGATTTAACTGCATGCGTAATACAAATGAAGCTGACTTAAGCGCGTTAGAGTCGTTCTCATTAACCCGTGGAACACACCTTAGCGCTTCATTTTTTTCTACACTTTATTACACTTTCTCTGTTCTTTTATTCACGAGTAACACAGATATTTGCATTGGAATTTTTCCTATTGTATAAGAACACAATACCCATGTAAGACTGACCCATGTGCTTGCTATTGTAAATGCTTTTGAACACATAAAGCGCTCTAAATGTCAAGAAATGCGTTCGTGGAAAATCGCAGGGTAGTCAATAAATTGCAGAAATTGCAATTTTGCAGTTGTGTCCTTAATAAATATGAATTTGAAATTTTGTGTGCTGGGCAGAGTATTTAACCAATAGCACTATTACACCCTCATAGTTACACTTTGTCTCTCCTTTCCTATTATTACACTTTGTTCCACGGGTTAATGAGAACGACTCTTTTTGCAGCGGTTTATTATGGTTAGGCAGAAAAAGGGGAATAGATATTCTTTGTAATTCATAAATGATAATAAAAGAGCCCAGCCTCGTTTTCGTTTTATATTTTGCCAGTGTATTTCGTCAAAAAATGTAACAAGCTTAAGAAAAATGAGCACTTCATGAACGATTTCCGATTGGAAAATATATCGATTTTCATAAATGCTGTGAAAAAGTATAGAAGAATAAGCAAATAGTACTAGTAAGGATAGATCAAAAATAGAATAAGAAGAAATTCAAAACGCTACGTCCTGTTAAAGTATAAACACCTTAAAGGTCCAGTTTGCCCCATTATGCTTTGCGTGCCTCTGTTATAGTTGTAATTTACACTTCTAGCATCCAAATATCACCATAAAACGAATGCCAGATGGTTGAAAACTCTACAATGTAGTATTAGCGTTTAAAGTGCTTAGAAAAGTGAGATGGTCAA